AACGCAAAAAGGATTATTGAACGACTATGATTCCATTTGACACAGTAGTTTTAGAGAAGATTTCCCAAGTGATTCTAGTGCCGACCAGTCATTTTTATATTAATGTATACAAAAAAGAAAAGTATTTATAGCATACCCAATAAATATACTAACGGACAAATTATGTGTAGTATAACTTTTCTATTCATATTTATAAATCAAATGACAGTCATGTGACCGTAGGTCCTTATATCTACTTTAGAGTTGGATTTTTAAAAATCGACATACATTGTAGCAGTATCATGTTCTAGTATGCTATGTAGTTGTAGAGAAAATGGTTAATATAACATATGTAACAATAACTGTTTCCATAGGAACACAAGTTGTTGGACGTTTGACGCTGTCTGCTTCACGTTCCAAATTCAATTTTTTTACACAAAATATTTGCGACTGAATAGTTTTTAGCATTGCAGTATAAAAGTAATAACCAGACATTGTCTCGGTGATAAAAGTGTCTAAAACAAAGGCATCTGGTATGTATCAATCTCAATTCGAAACTCTATATCGAATTTAATACTTAAGGTGATTACAAAGAATAGCGACAAGGGGAACGTTGAGTTTGTGTGTTATATTTCCAAACGATACTGGGGACCGCTAATGCATTACTTTACATTAATTAAAATTGTAAAGCTATATCTTAACTCTTACAGTTAGTGGTTATTAAATCAACAGTTCACATACTACCGGTAGCAAATAACACATTAACTTCATTAAGAACTTCTCACAATTAACAATTAAGACGCGTAAGTCTTATGTCTTTATTTTCTTCTTTTCCTAACACAGACCTGATCTAGATTCATCTTCAAACTAATTCAATTCTAAGAGATAAATTTAAAAATACGATCTGGTATGATTGCTAATGAGTCAACTATCCACCAGAATCCAAATGACCTAGAAGTTAACAACTACAGGTCACCTTACGGCCTTCAACAATTAGCAAAACCCATACCGCATAAGAAGCTATAAAATGCCGCAAAAATAACAAATGTAAAACAATTCAAACGAGAAAACTAACGGCCTGATTTATGGACAAAACAATAACAAAACAAATATAAAGTTTACGAAGTTATCAGACTTGAATCTTCGATTTGTTTTTACAAAATAGAGAACTGATTCGTCTGCCGTAAAGTAAATATGACGGAGTTAGTGCTTCGTCGTCCGTTGGATCAGATGAAGGGCGACTATTCAGAATGTTTTAACATCAGTAACGATCGTTTTGAGCATTTCGTTGTTCGCCAGTGTTTGTTCTAATACATTTTGTTAGCATTTTTTTTGATAATCCAATCAGCCTCTCCCACCACTCTATGAACCAAAGTGCTCTCTTCGGAATAAATCGCAAAATTGCTCAAAATGAATAAGTTTCTTCGGTTATATATGTAGACTTTGATATATGTTCAACCACTTTTAAACCGAATCAAACAAAGAACTTTGTCCGAGATCATAACCTTTGGAAGAGATCCTTTGTAAGTTCTCATATAATAAGGTATTGAGAATTCCACTCCCGTAACGGGAAATGGATTGTCCTCACAAGCTATGTCGACCAGTAGGGGTTGTAGGTCCGAACCGGGGTATGGTATCCCAGTCACTCCATGACAAGTTACGCAGCGACTCTCGATAATGTCTAAATGGTCCACATCTATTATGATGAGGTCAGTTAATATGTCCTTAAATTTAATGGTAATAAAACGGGAAAGCAAAACAATTCTCTACTATTTGTACTGTTGATTCTTCCTCCATCACATCGTTTTAGATTTTCGTCATCCAATCACAGTTTCAATTGTTTTACAAGACTGTTTCTATATTTTGCTTTCCCTTAAGTCATTCACTTTTTTGTATAGTTTCTGTGTTGCAAGCTACAAATCAAAAGTGTAGACATTCTGAATTTGTCATAGTGTAACGGTTAACTTTCAATTTTTCTTGTCCTTCTACAGTTTCTCCGGCTAGTTATTATTTTCAGTGTCTAAAATGTCGGAAAGTTCACAAGCGCCAAAATTCTGTTCCACTTTCCCGAATTTCGTCAAATTGCTTGAAGACCCGTGACCCTTTGTACAGCGTTTCTGTATGCGCGTAGTGATTTCAACTTCGAATTCGTCTTGGTCACGTATCAATATTAATAAGCGGGTACTTAGGGCAACTATTGGCGTAAAAACAAAGGCGTTTCGCACGTATTGGTCTCTATTCAATATTTTATTATCGACACATCACTTTTAGGTGGTATTATTATCAATAGTGGCAACGGTGACGTTGCGTTTGTGCGTTTTAATTTCAGCAAGGCAGGCATTGCTTCTTGTTTCTCAGTTCCAAGACAATGTTAGATTGTATCATATGTGCTAACAATGCATTTGTTGAACTTATTGTTTATCTATACATTATAGATAACCATTTGTAAATGGATCATAATTAAATTTAATTTACTGAAAGGTCAGATGTAATAGTTATACACCGAGGGATAGGTGTGTCTGGATAAGAAACCCCGACGGCCGGAGGCCGGAGGGGTTTCTTATCCAGACACGCCGTATCCCGAGGTGTATAACTAACTTACACCCCATGCTAAACCCTATATTTCTTAACATTGATTACTAAATGAAAAAGAATGGATAGCTTGATTTATAAGATTTTTTTTTACATGAAACCCCACTAGTAACCTTACTTTGGCTATCTTCGTTCAAACTTTGACAAGTGAGTAGATTTTACAAATGTCAAAGATGCTGTTTTGCATATTCCCGTTAAATCCTTGTGCTAATATGAATCAGCAGGTCAAGGTTGACCGTTTCGTGCATTCTTATTACAAAAAAAAAAAAAAATACATCATGCTCCTTATATGCAGTTGTCAATATGGACGGGTATAAGACGGACGACATTTTGTGTCAAGCGTTGGATTTGGTAGAAGAGACTAAAGATAAAGGCAATATAATAACCCAAAGTACCTACCTGTATCAGTTTAAAGAAGGTAATCATTTATTAATGTATTTTTTATGTTACGGTTTTATACCCCCCCTCTATTATCAAGTATAAACAAACATTCATATTCGGACATACTGAGGATAGGTGTGTCTGGATTAGAAATCCGAGGACCGGACACGCTCCACATACAAAAATACAGATTGAATATTTAGGAACTCCCTTTTTTGTGGGGCAATCCAGGGGTGGAGGTCCGGGTGTTAGAATCATCTTTTTTTAAAGATCAATGCTTAAGAATAGAGACATATGACCGGGATCAGTGGCGGATCTAGGAGGGGGGGGTCCGGGGGTTGGAACCCCTCCTATTTTGTGACGATCAATGCATTTGAATGGGGAAACATGGTTGGAACCCCCCTTTTTATCCTGGGTTGGGACCACCCCCCCCCCCTTTTTAAAAGTGGCTGAATCCGCCCCTGGTGATTAAAAGTTTTACCTTCCAGCAAAGGAGTATTTAAAGGATTTTTTTTTATTCAAAATAGATGCTTAATACTTTTTTCGCTATTTGTATTCCAAATAGCGAAACAATTTAAAAAAAACTCATTTTAGGAAATTTATAAATTGAATTTCCTACAATGTGTTTTTTTTTATATCTTGAAACAACTTGTAGTGAACAAACACTATTAGTAATTTCTTTTGTTCATGCTATTTAAAAAGATAATCAATTTCTATTGTTATGAATAACAATGGACTGTGTTTTCGGGATGTAGAAGCAGGCCGGGGTTTCCAGAAACCCCGCTCGTCACACCCTGTGGTCAAAATCCATTGTTCTTCGTTACAATAGATCTATTCAATTTACACTTGTTTCAGAAATAGAAACTATGAAGTATAACAATAGAACTGGGGTGTAACTATAAAGAATAATATGTACAATCCTATGTGAAGTTGTGTTCAGTAGTCTAACGTACTGATAAAGTATATGGTTACAGCTGTCCGCAAATGTAATGATTTTATTGCTATATTCGATAACTTATACAATGTTTATCTTATAATGTCAAAGTTATATTTATTTAATTTATGATATACGAATACAAGTGATCTAGCAACTTAGAAGTTTAATAAAACGTCATTTTGTATTTTGACTTTTGTAATGATATTACGACTTATTAAGGTAGGCATGTGTGGTATATAATAATAATTGTTAAAAAAAAAAACAAATTTAAATGAGTCCTTTAAATTAAAATCTTCAAAATCTATCAAAATTAAGTCTGGTGAAGAGTTGGTCGTTTCAAGTAAATGTTAAGATATTAAAATGACAATAGCACTTTATAATTCTGGTGCTTCCGAAACGTTCTTTTGGATTTACCTTCATTCGCCAAATTCCCAAAAACTTGAAAGCCAATGATGTATAAATATTTAAACATATGGGGAGCTATATGACCAAAGGAGACCTAAGAGAATAGCCAAATCCTCTTATTTTTCCAATAAAGCACTGTAGGAAACATTTAGCAAATGCATATTGAGTAATAATAAGATTATCTAATAACCAATGCAAGGGAGTCCTGCGATAACATGTGTTGTTAATAATACAATGGATATATAGTCTTTGATAAAAGCGTGAAAATAAAATAGTTGTTTTAGTGTATTTGTGAGTGACACCTTCTTGACGAGAAAAATTATTATTTGCAAATCGCAGTCTTATTCCTTTCGACCTCACAACAATTGTGGAAGATCCTTTTGGTTGAGGGCGGAATTTTTTCGAAAGTCTGTAGTAATGAATTAAGTATAAAATAAAGGAAATAAACAGGTTGATATTTTCCATTTTTGTAAATGTGTTTAAAATGCCGGCCGGCGTTTCCAGTCTCCAGGTGATAACTGTTTAGTCTTTAGACATTTTTTGATCAATTGAATGTTTTGTATGCTATCATATATTGTAGACTAGAATTCGGTCATCAAGGACGTATTTACCATAACAGGTAACTGACAACTTAAAAATTTGAAACGGATATTTAATTCAAATACATTTAAAATACAACGATCAGTAAGTGTAAGCACTAAAATAGAATGACCAGGCTTTTAACAATAATGATCTTATATGGGTGAACAAACATTCGTTTATAAGTCTATCTGTGTGTATGAAGTTTAATAACTTCAAGATATTTGCTAGCAATCACACAAGGGTAGAATTTACAGCATAAGGTAAGAAAGATGAAACTCATTGGAAAATTTTATTCTAAAAATTATTATAATTATCGGGAAATATATGCATTGCACTTATAGCTTAATAGCGCTTTTAAGTTCTAGACATGTTTTGACTAATTTTATGTTGAAAACAGCCGCTTTGGATTTTGTAAGCTTTAAGATTGAGTTCTTTCTACTCTTGTATATGTAATGGAATCTTTATCTCATAATAATAACAATATAGTACAAAGTCAACTCATTCGATCCGTTCATTTTTTAATAGATATTGAGATTTCTTGTTAATCTTATATAGTTTAACAAAATTTCTTGTCTATTGGGAAAATGATATACTAAAACAAATTCTGTAACCAATTCTAGATAAAATCTAGGCAACTGATTTCGTATAGTTCCTCTGAAACAGATAAATTTGCGTATAAAGGAAATAGTGATTTTAATGTTCATGTCAAATATATCTAATAACTAACTTAGAGAGGATGGGACACAGTCAGGATTTTACTTCGTCAAAATTATATCCCCATTACGCCATCTATTTTTTATTCGTGAAAATAGAAGCCATTGTAGGGATAAATAAATACTAAAAATATTCTAAATAAATATTCCGTGGAAGGGCAGAGATGCAAATTAATCCTTTAAAAAGATCATTCTTTTATCTTTCTGTGGATTTTTTTTTCGGCGGAATTTATGCTTATGCACAAAAAAGATCCACATATACTTGTACCTACCACAATCGACTGTTTTGTGAAAATTTGTCTTTAATTTAAAAGTTTACAAATACCTCGACGCACCATACTATAATTCAAGTAAAAACGCGTATACACTATGCAAAATATCCTAAATTAGATACCTACATTAAAGTTTTAAAGCCCATAGAAACAGATGTAAACAATTAAAACCTACCAACTTGGCCTTTTTATCTTCTCTAAAGAGTTCCATTTCTTTTGTTTAATTTCAACTGGATATCAGCCTGGGATAAAGAGAACCGAAAAAGACCATGCAAAATCATAAAACCAATATGATTGAGAGGTGCGTCCGTTTGGCTATGTTGACTGTATTAATTCGCAGCAGAGTCCTGTCGGAAAAGGAATTTTACAAAAGATGCATCGTGTTGGGCACAGGCACTTGTTTCTATCCATGGGAAACCCCACTATCAACGTATATTTACGAGAAGGTACCCAACTACTTTTTTCACCTCTCCGCTTCAAACCCTTATTTTGCTGTCAATTCATTCTCAAATTTATTGTTCCATACACCATTCGATTCGTGAAAAGTTTTTCTTTCAGATGGTATGGATTGTATTTACCCTTAGGGTACCCCTTACCTCCAATACACAAGATTTGTCAATAAATATTCATGTGATTGTTTTTAGTCCTCCTACAAAATACAACAACTACCGGTTTATGGCAGTGAATTTCAATACTGATTGTGATTGGTCGGTTCATAGTTCATAGGGTTATTCATAAGTTAAAGGTCATTACACTCTCTAGATTTTACTTATTCATTTGTGATTCTCTAGACTTATCATTCACTGTTTTATGCAAATTATCTAGGACTAAAACTTTAAAGGCTACACGAATAAATATATCCCATATATTTTTTGTTTTCTAAAATTTAAATAAAAAAATCCCCAGTGAAATGATATTTGTAGCATCGTTATTTTTCTTTTTAATAAGGATTCAGTCCGTGAAATTTTGATACCGGAAGTTATTGTATTTTGTAGGAGGACTAAAAACAATCACAGGAATATTTATTGACAAATCTTGTGTTTTGGAGGTAAGGGGTACCCTAAGGGTAAATACAATCCATACCATCTGAAAGAAAAACTTTTCACGAATCGAATGGTGTATGGAACAATAAATTTGAGAATGAATTGACAGCAAAATAAGGGTTTGAAGCGGAGAGGTGAAAAAAGTAGTTGGGTACCTTCTCGTAAATATACGTTGATAGTGGGGCTTCCCATGGATAGAAACAAGTGCCTGTGGTGTTGGGAGAGGGTTTTGCTATCTAACGGTGTTATACCATCTCGTTCGATGTGCCCGTGTCTGTAGTGACGTTTTTGGATTTTAATGAATGTAATCTGTGTATCACTGATAAATTATTAAGTCAAGGATTTCGTTACCACAAATTACTTAAAACCTTTACTAAATTTTTTCATAGATACAGGGATTTTGTTTCGAAGTTTGGCTATACCTGTAGAAAACTTGTAACAAACGGGATACCACATCCTATTTTTTACGGTAATGTTGTTTACCGAGCCCGTAAATTTCGATACGAGCCGGGTACACTTATCGATCCTGTAAATAAACTTATTCTAAAAGGTTACCAATTTAACAATGTAATTAGATCTTTGAATTTTGTTTGTAGCGGGGTAAATATTGATTTTGTTATCAACCAGTTAAACCCAAATAATATTATTGTTATACACATATCTACATACACGGTCCTACATTCTGTCAATACCTATATTGTGGAATTACTTAATGTCATGTTTTCGCTGACTGTCAATGACGTCTTTCTGCTAAATCTATTGTATGTTGGAGGTGTAATGATTGATTTTAGTCTTAGATACATATTTTTTATACATTGCTATTGGCTTTGAAGTAGCTTTCAGTAACTGCGAGTGCTCTCCGATCTGTACTTTGTGTCTTTTGTGTATTTGTTAGCTGTTTTTCTTTTCTTTGTATCGATCTGATGAGTTAAACTCTTTCCAAATGATAGTTTGGTCTTGTGTTGTGTTGTTACACCACTGTCCCAGGTTAGAGAGAGAGAGAGAGTTGGGCGCCCTCAATAGAAAAATAAGGAGACCTGGAATGATTGCCAATGAGACAACTATCCACCAAAGTTCAAATAAAATGGATGTAAGCAATTATAGGCAACCGTACGGCCTTCAACAATGAGAAAAACCCATACCGTATAGTCGGCTATAAAAGCCCCGACATGAAAAATATGAAACAATTCAATTTAGAAAACTAACGGCGTAATTTATAACAAAACAGTTTACGAAAACAAATATGACAGACATGAACCAATGACAACCACTGAACTATAGGCTCCTGACTTGGGGCAGGCACATCAAGTGTGGCGGGGTTAAACATGTTTGTGAGCACTCAACCCTTCCCCTAACCTGGGACAGTGGTGTAACAGCACAACATAAGAACAAACTATAAAAATCAGTTGAAAGAGGCTGAACTCATCAGATTGATACAAAGAAAAAACATCAAACAAAAAGGACACTACGTCTTGATCCGAGAGTACTACCAGTAATACATAGATTACGCTCATTGAAATCCAAAATGTCATTACGGACACGGGCATAACGAACGAATTGGGATATATAAACACCGTCAAACATGTTTAACCCCGCCACATTCTGTGTGTGCCTGTCCTTAGTTAGGAGCCCATAGTTTAGTGATTGTCGTTTGTTGCTGTATATCATATTTTTTGTTGTTGTTGTTTTGTATATAAATCGATCCGTTGGTTTTCTCGTTGAACTGTTCTACATTTGTCATATTGAGGTCTTTCATGGCTTGCAGTGCGGTATTTGTTTTTGCTCGTAGTTGAAGGTCATACGGTTACCTATAGTTGCTAATTTAATGTCATTTGGTCTCTACTTTTGTCTCATTGGCAATCTTATCACATCTTCTTATTTTTATATTGTCACCTGTTGTATTTGCATATCACTTCACTTACTATGGCGACCAGCATCTAGGAACGGACGTTATTTGAAGGGGATACACTTTTTTTTTATTATCTAGGCGACATTGTCTCATAGCTGACCACCAACCCATTATTGCGACCATGAAATATCCGTAATGCTTTTACAAATCTAAATTTTGACATTATTTATCTACTACCTGTAATACTGTTAGAAGGGCGGACGATATGATCAAATTAAGCGATAATGTATAAATACTTGAAGACATATTTATAATTCTGATGCGACTATATATTTATTTATATAAATGATTTCCACTTGCTAGTAAAAATAAATTCATATCAGTTTAGTTTATTTTCGAAAGTTAGTGAGTAGTCTCCATGTATGAAGTAACACAACGAAGTTCGACATCATTAAGTTACAAATGGCTTGATCCCTGGCAAGTTTTTTTAAATGACAAAACTTATTGGTACATGCCAATGTGATTTTTTGTATAATGTCGATATTGGACAGTGATTTCTCTCTTTTTTAATTATGTTTGTTTAACACTCTATATCATTATAAATGTACAAATATTGACATAGATAATTAATTCATGAATTTTCCTAACTTGTCACCATATTATAAACCCTCCTTTACTTATTTGATGAATATTTACAAACATGTTATAGTAAACAAATGCCTTGCGGTAAAATTATTTATCTTATTTGTATGCGGATAACATTAAAACAGGAGTGAGGGATTTTCCATTTCATAAATTGACGGATTTAACCGTCTACAGTCAATACTTACTTTTGGTGATAAAGTACAAACAAACTTAAGGTAAGAGTGTACAAACATGTTGTTTTGTCTGCAATGTTAAATAGTACAAATATTTTTGATGTAGAAATTCTACAACCTTTTTCTTTAAAAGATCACCTTTCTTTATTACTAACTACGATGTTCTATGTATTAACATGTATTGATAAGCTTCTAGAACATATACCTTATTATAAAAAAATCTGAAATATTTCAGAGGGTACAATATGTAACTTACTTAATGATAAATGTACGTATACTAATATTAGTCTAGCTCATTTGTAAGTTTTTGTTGATGTTTTAGTGTCAAATGTGTGAATTTGGTTTAAAACTTTAGCAAATTTGAAACTGTATTAATATAGGATATATAAAAGCTCAGTTATGTACCCCTTTCATATTGACTGTTTGAAGAAGAAAAAAACCTAGGATAAAGATAAAAATTAGAAAATGTGGTATGATTGCCAATGAGACAACACTCCACCAGAGACCAAATGACATAGAAGTTAACACCTATACTTGCACAACAATTGCAAGGAGTAAGTCGTGT